GATAAAGGACTGATCACAAAAATCTGCAAAGAGCTGATGAGACTCAACAACAACAAAGAAAATAATCCAGTCAAAAAATGGGCAGAAGAGCTAAAAAGAAACTTCTCTAAAGAGGAAATGCAAATGGCCAACAGGCATATGAACAAATGTTCAACATCACTTGTAATCAGGGAAATGCAAATCAAAACTACCATGAGATACCATCTCACACCAGTGAGAATGGCACTTATTAAAAAAACTAGCAACAACAAATGTTGGCGAGGGTGTGGAGAAAAAGGAACTCTCCTGCACTGTTGGTGGGAGTGCAAACTGGTCCAACCACTGTGGAGAGCTGTGTGGAGATGACATGGATGGCGCTGGAAGGGATCATGCTCAGCGAAATAAGCCAAAAAGAAAAAGAAAAATACCGGATGGTCTCACTCATAGCAGGAATCTAGAAAACTTAAATAAGGGACCAGGAAAATGAATAACTATAAGAAAGTGAAAATCAAAATCAACAAAAAACTATGAACCAGAGACACTTTTAGGGGGGCGGGGGCGGGAGGGGAGGGATTGGGGTCAGAATGGGGGGGCTGCAATTGTATGGGGAATATAAAAATAAAATTTATTATTAAAAAAAATAAAATAAGTCAACATATCAAACCAGAAAAAAAAAAGTTTAGTATATTTTTTAATTTAAACCAAAGTGACAGATAAAGCAGAGTGCAGCAGAAACCCTAGGGGCCTCCAACTAACAGGCCGAGGGGCATCACCCGCTCCCCTGCTTACACCCAGGGAACCCCACGAGGAAGTGCTCCGGGTATCTCAGTTGCAGATAAAAACGCTCACTGAGTTTGTGACACTGTAATAGCACTGTGAGCCATAAACATTATCTGTTCTGTTTCCCAAATTCTGTTTTTACTGTGTGGGCTTTGAAGAGCCTTTGCTTTTGAGGGGCCTTCAGGGGCCACTCCAGCCTGCTTCTCTCCTGCAGGCATAGCCTCCAACAAACCCATGAAATTTCCCTCCAGAATGCAGTCTTTCTGTTAAGTGAGCCCGTGTCTCCAACTTTCTCTTCGCTGCTATCTTAGAGGGGATGCATCAGTGACTGTTTTCCATAAACCCAATGTGTGAAGGGAGGTCTTGAAATTCTGACAGCTTCCAGATGATGATATTTTTTTAAAGATTTATTTATTTTTATACAAGAATTGGGGTACAGGCCAGAGATGCAGGGAGTGAGAGGATTCACCAGAGATAGAGCAGGGAACAGAACAGGCAGACAGACGGACCAAAGTACACTGCTGAGGGGAGCAGCGGGCGAGACAGGAGAGGTCTGTCCCACCATGTGGGTTTCTCCCTGGCCGGGAATTGAACTCATGCTACAGTGGCTGCAATTGCTTCATAGGTTGCGTCTTAACCCCTGCACCACCAGGGAGGCCCCAGATGATGATATTTTTAAAAATTAAAATCCCAATTGTGTAAAGGCATGTGCTGCCATGTTTGAGAGTTACGGCAGAAACACGTGGTGGCCATGGGAGTGGGATCTTGTTCCCACCCCCGAGCCCGGAGACCTCGTCACGGCCTCCCACTAGGTCTCCCGAGTGTCACCCCTTAGCCTAAGGCCAGGGCAGACGCAAGAATGTTCTACCTGTCACAATTCCTTCTGGGCCATGAATGGTCATTTTGAGGGAAAAATCGTACGAATATTTTTTTCACATAGAGGTTCCAAAAGCACCTCTCTGCAGCAAAGGTGTTGGACATGGTGCATGCTGCAGAGGAAGCCATTTCTTCTCCAGCATCTCATTTGCTTCGTCTTCAAGCGACAGATAAAACCCAGATGATGAGGCCAGATTGTTACACTAGAATTTCCGATTGCTCCATATCCATTTGATGCAAGGCTCGTGATAATTGTGATTTAAATTACCTGATGTTTAGGGAAATCACAGTGGGTAGAATCACAAGTCTCCGTAAGCCCAGCATGGGGTGGAGTGGGGGGCATCAAAAATCAAGGGCGTTCTCGTGTCTCCCACGTGAGCCAGGTGTCAGATAGGTGTCCTGAGCCATCTCAGCAGAAACACTTTTCTCTGAGCACCTGGGGAGGGAGACTAGGACCAAGTGGTATAGCAAAGTCGCTCCTGCCCCATCTGCCCTGCCTCGGCTGACAGCGGTGGCACTACAGCTGTGTCAGGAAGCTGGGGGGCGACAGAACATCCTACTACAAGTTGCTTCGAGGAGCAGAAGCTTATTTCCTGGCAGGAGAGGAGCCGAGGCTGGCTGGAGGCCAGCAGGGTGGGCATCAGGGCCCACCATGCAGATCAGGGCTGAGTGTGACTGGCCTGTCTCGCTATCCTTTCCTCCCTGAGAGCCGTCTTCCCCAGCACGGCTGCCAGCTGCTGAGCATGTGGGTTCTGGTGGCGAGAGAGAAGGCAGCGACAGGGCGTGGGGCAGGCATCTCCACTACGGCAACAGGCAATGGTCTGCGGTGGAAAGCAGCCCAAGCTGGTTCACAGAACAAGTCCTCATGAACTTGAGTCCATGAGACACCCCCAAACCAGCACCCCCTCTCCATAAATGAGGTTATGACAAGCCCCAGCGGAGAAGATCTAATTGCATTATGCGTGTAGGAACAAAGTTAAGGACGCTGAATCTGGTTTCTGGTCTTACTAACAGGGTATGACAGTGGGCCCTGCAGTCAGCTTCTCAGCAAGAGCTCGTTGTAGGCTCAAGGGAGGAGGGGCAGCCTCCATTTGTTAGCTCTGACATCAAAATACATTACAGGGGAAAGGGTTAAACTGTCTGGTGAGGGGTGGAAACTAGGTTTCTGATGGTGACAGATGTGAGCAGACACAGCTGCTGAGTCTGTACCCCTCTGAACCTGCAGGCTACACACCAGTGTCGATCGATCAAGGAAATGAAATTTTTAAAGCCACGTGCGAGCCCATGCACATCTGCATGTCCACGAGAGGGGATGCCAGCTGTCCAATGGGGCTACCAACTTGGAAGAGCTCTGGGAGTCTGCTTGGAGCGTGCGTTTTAGAAGATGTGCTCACATTCCTGCGCCGGGCCACGGATCAAGGCATCTTCCTTTCCCCACGGGCCCAGAGGCCCAAGGACAGGACAGCAGCTGCCCTGCAGGCACTGGTGTGGACTGTCCAGGTGCATGGAGACAGCACCGAGGGCGGAGAGAGGATCCCAGGGCCGCTGATGGCCCATCCATGGAGATGACCCTCAAACAGCAAGCAGGTATGTGGAGGCAGGGCCAGGTCTGGCGGCAGTGGGCACGCGGCCTGAAAGTGCAGTTACTTGACAGCTGGACCCCAGGACGCAGAGGCCCGCTTACGCCCAACCCTTGGGGATATGCCTGTGTTTCGACCCTCTAACTATAGGAGGGGGCTCCTGTTCTTTTATGTCCTTGCTAAGACAGCATCAGGGGAAACTGTAGCCAGAGTTGAAATTGCCCACACTTACCACAATGAGACTCTCCTGGAAACCCCACACCAAGTCCATGAGCGCCGCGCGGGGTTAAACAGGCTTAGGTGCAGAGTTGCCCTGATCCCCTCTTCCCCCTTCATGTCTAATATGGGGCTCCAGAGAGAACTGAGTCTGGTGTTTGTCTTCCTTTCCTCTTGGGCGGGGGGTGGGGCGTGCATGGGGGCTCTTAATAAATGAGTTTTGGGACTAAGTCAGTCTTGGTGCAAACTTCATAAGCTCTCTTTCTGGAGTGGTAAAAAGAGAGCCCACTTTGCCAGGTTATTAAACATCAGATGAGATCAAAGCATATGAAACTGCAAGGATTGGGTTTGGTAGATTATTCTGGTGGTTGTGACTTCTGATAACCCCCAAGGTATCCAGGAGGAGACAGCAAGAACCAGGGCAGGAACCAGGGCTAGTGGGAATTCTGTGGGCTGCAACTAAATTTGCAAGGCAACAAAAATGCATGAAGGCTGGGGTTATGTTTCCTCGTGATTTCCTAAATCATCGCTGGAAAGAAATGACTTTTATTTACACAAATACATCAGCGCATGCACGACTGACCTTGCCTGCAGCCTCGGAACCAACAGAAAAGTCCGCACTCTCCCTTTCTGCTATAGGAGCTACTGTTACACCGCAGATGTGCAATATGCACCCCTCCTCCCTCTCAAGACCAGACAGCTCCTGCCCATCACCCCAAGTGCGGAGGCGAGGGTGGGAGCTCCGGGAAAATGGCTATGGGTAAATAGACGCATAAGTGCATTTTTTCCAGTCCAACGATGCTTTGAGATTCTGTCACTTGAAACAAACTTAACAACCATTTTAACACATGAGGGGTTAAATGGACTGTCCAGGGCTAGAATTTAGGCACGATTTGTCATGCTGTTTCTCTACAGAAGTGTAGTCTGTGTTCCGAGTGAATTTGTAAGATCAGTGATCGACTGTGTACAAGTCCATAGAAGTTAAACTCACTCATAAAATAACAGTGGTTTGAGAATGGTGAGAATTTGGCAGAACTTAATTTGAAAGTAATGGATTGTGTTGGGTGAAGATTTATCGGGTTTTTTTTGTTTGTTTGTTTTCTTTTTTTGTGAGACCCTCGCCGGTGGCCGGGGAACGAACCGGCACTGCAGAGGCTGCGGGCAGCCTCACAACCCAGCGCTCAACTGCTGCACCACCAGGGGAGGCCCTATCGGTTTTTTTTTTAAAGATTTATTTATTTATGTGGGCCTCCCCTGTGGCAGAGCGGTTGAGCGCTGGGTTGTGAAGCTGCCCGTAGCCTCTGTGGCGCCGGTTTGATCCCCAGCTGCTCCCCGGCCACCGGGGGAGGGTCCCACATGGCGCGCAGACCTCTCCTGCCGCCCGCTGCTCCCCTCAGCAGTGTACTTCGGTCCTTCTGCCTGCTCTGCTCCCCGCTCTGGCTCTGGTGAATTCTCTCACCCTCCCGTGCTTCTGACTGTACCCAGTGCTTGTATAAACAAACAAACAAAAATAAATAATACATGCCTCTTAAAAAAAATAAATACATAAAATAAAATAAATTAAGATTTATTTATTTATGCATACAAGAGCTGGGGTACAGGCCAGAGATGCAGGGGGTGAGGCGGGGAGGTGAGAGGATTCACCAGAGACAAAGTGGGGAGCAGAACAGGCAGATTGAAGTACACTGCTGAGGGGAGCAGCGGGCGAGTCAGGAGAGGTCTGCTGCGCCATGTGGGTTTCTCCCTGGCCGGCCGCAGATCGAACTCGTGCTGCAGAGGCTGCGGATTGCTTCATAGTGTGGTGCTTAACCCCTTGCGCCACCAGGGAGGCCCGAAGATTTATAGTTTTAAACAGCAGTATTTTTTAAACTCATCTGCGGTGACCTGTCTACAGAATAACCAACACTTTACTCAGTACAAAGTCATAATATAAATAGTCACTAATTTAATCATCATAACTTCAAGATCTGCTAGCAGTGCTGGTTCCAGTTTCACCAAGGAGCCCATAGCAAAGTGAACACGTATATTCAAAGCTTGACACACCTTCAGATTTTCGAAGGTTTCCCACAACAGACATCTTAAAAGGATTTTCTTTCATTTAAGTAAATAATTTTGATACATTGAGTGGTTCCAGTTTTAAGAAACTGAAATTTATAGCTAGGCTCCTTTCTTATTTTTGAAATTCAACAAAAACAAGAAATCTGATATTCATTCACAAACAAGTTGCCTTCCTCCCTGATGGAAGGACATCTCCACTGTAGAGAAGGTGGGGGTGCAAGCAGAATTATTCTCCAGCACCGGACAAGCAAGAAAAGGGCACTGTATTCACGAAGCTGAGGCTAAAACCCTCACCTCTCTGGCCCGACCTCCCCTTCCGTCAGCAAGGATAAGGGGGCAGGTTTGGTGAGACACCTACCGTCTTTACAATCACTGACAAGATCTCCCAGGCCCAAGTCAGTTCACCCAGTGCCTCTCGCTCAGTGGTAGCCTGTCAATGGAGGTGCCAGGGTCACCTCACACAGGTGAACAGTTTGCAGGATGCCTGTGGCTTCCTGGGCTGCGAGCAGTCGAGGTCTGCTCCAGTGAGCCCTGCCACCCAGAATGATGGGGTGGGTGCTGCCTCTGGGTCCTTAGCCTGTTTGAGGCAGGGCGCTGGGTTGTTCTAGAACATGTGTCCTTTCGGGGTTATCACTAGTCGGCAAACCTAATAGAAAGTCCCTTCCGCTAAAGGTAAGGCGCTCAGGGAGACAGAAGTGGAAAGCAGCAACCCCCATCCTGACACGTCCAGCACAGCACTTCCATCCTCCTAAGGAATCAGCCAAGCCCTTTTCTCAAGCACAAAAGAAACAAATAGATATGGAATATAAACCAAGCAGCAGGCCAACTCGCGCGCTAGTGACCTATGACTTTAAAGAATCATGGCTTGGGCCTCCCTGCTGGCGCAGGGGTTAAGCACCCAGGAGCACATGGTGGCCTCAGGATGACTCGCGATGAGACTGCTCCAAACTAACCCCATGCAACTAAAGACATGGGGCCAGGATATCACTTTCAGCCCAGGAATTCTAAGCAGCTGAATATTATTGAGGTGTGATCCAAAGACAGAGACTGCCTTGCCTCACTTATATTTAAAATGTAAGTGATAGAACATGGCAAGGCTGACACATGGAGCCAAGATGAAAGCCACAGCAAATTCTCGGTTAGTGGCGCACGTCCTAGAAAGTTTGTACCCCGAGCAAGGACAGGACACAGACCTGTTCCAAAGTCTCGGAACCTGACAGGGCTCATTATGTCGACATAGCTTCAAACCCGCCGTCTCCCAAGGAGCTGGAAAATTCCACCACCACCTATCCCTGCTGGTACAATGATCATGGCCCGGGCTGGCTGGCAATATTCCCACAGAACCTTTACACTCACATTCTAAATTGGACCTCTTACTACAGCGAACGTGCTCACTAGGTGATTACTATCCCAGCCTCAGTTGTTAGAATCCCTACTTGTATAAGGAGCTGTTAGGGAGAAATGGCATCGGTGTTGACAAAGCATTTATATTAAGGAATCCTTCCTACAGAAAGCAAAGGTGTTTTTTGTTGTTTTTTTTTTAATTAGAAAAAAACGCCACATTTTAGTCAGTACAAGAGCACCACATGTGAGAAACACAGAAAAGTACAAGTGGGACTTAAAGAGAAACAGCACGAGACAGAATAGCTGACATCGACCCTTCGGGGAGCCTGCCACGGCCAAAGGAACCACCACCCCACACGCACAAATGCGGTCATGGGGGCAGAACCCACACCAGGACAGGCAGAACCACACGTCTCCCCACCACCCATGGTTTCCTCCACTTTACGCAACGCGAAGAAATACTTGACATAAAGTTAGTTTACAGCCAACACAGCTGTAGGAGGATCGTCGAGCAAACCTGTATTCTCAGGGAGCTGTTCACTGAAGTGTAAAATGGGCTTCACATTTTTATCTTTGTGCAAAATCCACACACAATAGAAGCTGTGACAGTGCAGCCTCAGCAATGCAGAGATGGGGCTATTCACATGTGGTGAGGAGAACCCATGAGGCTGTAAGCAGGGCTTGCAAACGCCAGCGCTTCCATCCAGTTGGGGCAGCTGAAGAAGAAGCAAGTCCACGTCTGAAGAGCCGCTGCCTTCTAGGCCAGGTGAAGGCTGTCCGGGGCCACCTCTGCCCACCTTGGGTCTCTGTCCTACTGGACCCTGCAGTTCTCGCCGCTTGGGGCCTCGGGTCCCACTTCTGGGTGGGGGGCTGGCCAGTCTCGCTCGGTCATCAGGCCCCCCAGGAGACTGTTGGCTGAACCCCTCAGGGCAGCACCTGGCTCCACTGGGTTTCCCTCTGCCACCTTGACCTGCGACACAAGAACATCTTTTAGAGGCTTAACCCACAGCCACCTCTCCACAGACGAAAACATAAAGCTCACGTCACCAGGTGCCCCTCCCACTGGGGGCTGAGCAGTGCAACACTCCTGTCCTGGGAGCAGGCCCACCTAAGAGTCACCCCCGAGGCCAGAGGCTGCCCCCGGCCACAGGCTGCGCCCCCATCAGAGGCGAGTCTCGGGGTACTGTCCTCTCCACCTCAGTGTGCACAGGGCCCAGGAGAGGCTGGGCTGCCAGTGATAGCCCTGTGTCCCAAAGCCAGGACCTGACCACCCACACGTGTCCTGAGGTCCCGCTGCCACGGGGACTGCCTGTCCACACAACAAAGCTGCTTCAGCAGGGGCTCCCAGCACCTCCTCTCAAGAGCCCCTGTCCAGTACCAAGAGCACTCACAGCCCCCCATGGGGCTCCAGGCAGAGAGCAGGCTGCAGGGACAGTGGGGCTCAGGCCCAGGTGAGCGAAGCTTCTCTTCTTAGAGCCTTGGTCTACTCTGACATGCAACTCCTCACAAAGGAAGGAGAAACCACCAGGGATGACGTCACAAAATGGCTTCCTAACCACCCTGTAAGCCCCTGTGCCTGCAACCCTCGCAGCTCTGTCACAAACGCAGCAGCCTGACATGAGGACACAGCTAAGCTCCAGGCATCACGAGGACCCGCACAGAACCCAAGTCTGCAAACCAGAGGGCAGACGCCAAAGTGAGGAATTGCAGCACAGTGAGCTGCAGGAAAGCTCGGGAAACAGGCCCCTCCCCCCACTTGCCCCCTCCCCACACTTTAGTTTCCTGACCCAAGAGCTCCAGAGACACCCTGACTATAATGGAAGTCCTGAGCCAGCAGAACGCAGCACATAATCCCTTAGTGCATAAAGCTCTCAATATCAGCGAATAGATTGCCAGCCTCGTCCCTGATCTGATCCACTGTGGGGTCGGAGTCCTGGCAAGCAGAGAGCCTGCCCCTCCCCCGGGACAGGCATCCCAGCACCAGACACCGCCCTCACCGCCGTGCACACGCCACAGGCCGTGATCTACATGCTTAAAACCCTGACGAGTGAGCAAAGGAAAAATGACAGAACTTTTAAAACTTCTGAAGCTACTCCAGCAACTTCCAGCAACGTTCCCTGATTCCCAGTTTGAGAAACACTGGAAAAAGAATTCAGTAAAACACACGCTTTCACCTAGCCAGGCGGGAGCTGCTGGAGAGGCTGCAGCCTGGACTGAAGACACCAGCACAGACGTTCTCGATTCGAACAGCAGGCAGGCTCGTGACAAGGCGTTCAGAGGGGGCTATGTCCTAGAGCACCCCAACAATCAAGACAGAGAAACCCATAACAGAACCCCTCTCCCTGAGATGCGTGCGGTTTTTTTCTTTTAATTGAAGTAACACTGCAATGTTAACATTATGTTAGTTTCAGGTGTGCAGGGCTGAGAACTGACACTCATGTGAACAGGAAGTTCGCAATCCTCTTGTCACCACATCTTTGTTCTGTCCTGAATGACCCACCCGCTTCCCCAGCTAACCATTATAGTCCAAAAGTTTATTTTTGTTTTATTTAGTTGATGTGTTTGTTTACCACATACCAGTAAGAGGGGCACTGCTTGTCTTTCCTGTCCGACTGTTGTCACCAAGCACTATACCTTCCTGGTCCATCCACATTGTCACAAACGGCAGGATTTCATCTGTTCCTAGGCTGCAGAGTATCCAAGCCGCATCTTTACCCACATGTCCGCCGATGTGTGCCCAGGACTTACCTTCTGTGATCTGCTGCCCGCAGCTGCAGGTTTGTTGGGCTCCGCCTGATTCTCTTTGTTGAGACTGAGGCGGGGTGAGGGTAACTTCTGGGCAGCTAGGCGAGGGCTGCTCCTGGTGGCCAGGGTGGTTCTCCGAAGGACGTAGGGGCTCGTCTTTCCAGTTGGGATATTAGCAAACCCTAAGGGCAAAAGAGCTGGCTGTCAACATGCTCCTCACTGGAGAACAGCTGACAGACACAGGGGTGGCGCCCAGAGCATGTCCTCTGCCCCGTGGACAGGCAGACCTCACACTCGCCCTGGAGAGGCCATGTCGAATCGGTAACTGACAGCAATTCTCATCAGAAATCTCAGAAGCTGCAATGGTAAAGCAGGGACAGTGGACAGAAAGTTTCCTTTGCTGCTGCTTCCCTGAGGGCCTCCAGGAGCTATTCTTGGAGCTCTGACGAGCACACCAGCATTGCAGGAAAAATTGGACTAGGGGAAGATAAAGGATAATATGGAAAGGAAATCACAAAAGGGCCGCTTTTTGTTTAAAGAGGAAAACAGGGTGTGGGAAAGCCCCTCCGGGACAGTTCTCATGCAGATGCGGGGCTCAGGGGCCTTGTTCGCTCGCCCAGAGGAGCTGGCAGGACCTGGCAACCAAGAGGGTCCCTCAAGGCACCACGGCTCCAGGCAGCCTGACCGGCTGTGAGCAGCACAGGTTTGGTTTCCCGCCCTCTAATGACAAGTACAGAACGGCAGTGAGCACGGGTGGCAAACCATCTGGGATGAGGCTTGCCTAGGAAGGCTTCTGAGCCGTGGTGGCTGAGGACAGCAGGGACAAACCCCAAGGACGACCGCAAAGGGCAGCTCCAGCTGGGGCTGGTGTCCATGCTTCCTCCGGGTCACAGACCATGGGCCCACAAGGCCCAGGATATAACCTAAGAATATCCTGGCACCTGTGTGCTGACATGGCCTGGGGAGGACACAAGGCTGTTTCTAAGCCACACGCACCTTTCTTCACAACCTCCGGAAGCCCCTCAGGCTCAAACATGTCCTCCGTGGGGTGAGGGCTGCTGTGAACGGCTCTCCGGCTTTTCTTGGAAAACGTCTCCGGCGTAGAAGGCATTGTGGCCCCTCCACTCTCCTGAATCCCACTGAGCCTTTGCCTCTTACCGGAAGCTTTATTTGGGTCAAAGGATAACTCCTTCTTCCAAGCAGGAGGGGAAGGAGATGGTTCTAGAACTGCCGAGTCAGGCAACGGACTGTGGGGATGGCATCGGACCGGCTGAGCCCGCAGGAGGTTAAGCTGGGTCTCCAGCATCTCCTTGGCCGTCTCCAGCTTCTCATGGCTGATGAGCAGGGCGCAGTACTTGTCCAGGTACTCATCGGCCTCCTTGCTCTTGGCTTCCAGGGTTTCCTTCAGTTCCTTCATCTCAGCCGCTAACTCCTCCGCACTTGCATCCGCAGTAGCACCTGCAAAGATAAGGTGAAAGCACGTCTCCTGCGACTGCCACCCGTCCAGCGAGCATGGGCACCCAAGCAGGCGGCCCGGCCCTGCGCTTGCTCCAGGAACAGAGGCACACCTGTGCCTGTGCTTAGTCCAGATACTCCTGCCCGGGAGTCCTCACGAGGGAGCGTCCTAGCAGCTGCTTGTTCCCTAAAACCCACCAACGCCTCCACCTGCTATTTCAGTCCACCCAGCACCTTCCCTGTAGTTCATGTGAGCAAGAACTTACTCATCAGGCCCTATCCCGTCCACACTCTCCTGCAAAGATGAATGAAAAGCTACATGGTTGACATGAAAACCACCCAGCCCCGAGCCGCGGCCGACGGAGCACTGGCCTGCCCCACGGTGACCACTGTCCGTGCTGGGGGCACAGGTGTGGCACCTACCAGCCATCATTTCTTTTTATTTTACCTCCACACCCCAAAATACAGCTGACCCCAAGGAGGGGCAAGGACAAGTGGAGTGGGCGGTCTCTCAGTGAGCAAAGCTGGCTCAAGCAGCAATGCCCAGGACGTGGGGCTACACCTGTGCACCCTCCCGCCAGGGACACTGCCGGCTGCCTGGCTTTGGAGGGACGGAGGACACCATCACCTGTTTCACAATGCAGGTTTCATTCTGAATTCCCTTGATGACCCTGAGCTGAGCACAAAATTCAGACTGGAAACGGCTGAGAGCCAGCACAGAGCGCCCACAGGGAAGGTCCTATGCCCCGTGCCCACCTGCCCCCTGGCTCTCCTCCGCAGTGCTGCACTGAGCCAGCTCCTTCTGCAGTGCTTCCTTCTCCTGCTCCAGCTGTTTACAGGATTTGATCAACAACTTGATCTTTCCCTGAGCACGTTCGTTCTCCTTCTTCAGCTGATTTGCATATTTTAGATTGTCCATCTACAAAACAACAGCAATCCCACTTAAAACCTTGCATTTCTTACGAGCATGTGGAATAGTAATTATGAAATTGAACGAGGACTCACGTGCTCCAAATTTAAAATTTGTTGTCTTCAAGTATACATCAGGATGTGCCTAGAACAACTCCCATCCAACCGCCCAGCTTCCCAAGTCTCCTCCATGCCCTGGTTTTGTGGCTCCCGTCTTAGCTCAGTTTCTAACAAAGGCCTTTTAAGGGGGTGCCCGGTGCCCCAGATCCACTGGGAATCATGTTGGGGAGGTGGGGGGCAGGGAGTGCATGGACAGATTCTGGGTGAGAGAACTCTGTTCCGCTTGAAAGCCTCAGTGCCTAAACTGGTTTTTAGTCACAGCAAGTGAAGGCCACCTAGGACCATGACTCACTTGCAACCCGACGCCACCCTAAAGCAGAGAGGGACGGGAACGTGGGTCACAGCTCAGGTCACAGCTCTTAACCATCGCCTATGGCAGCATCCCAAAGAGCTTGGACCTGAGCAGGCACACCACAGCCACGGTCTGCCCCAAGCCCGCTTCACGACGCCTTTTGCCACAGAAACATGAATTTGCTTATCAGTGTCACCCCCAGATCCCACCGGGGTGTAAGGTGACACCCAGCAGGTGATACGTAATATCTAAAACGTATGGATTTCTAGAACAATCTAGATCCAGGAGGCTCAGCTAAGAGAGCAGGACATGAGGGGCAGGCCAGGGGATCTTAAAGAGGCTGGGTGTCATGTTCACAACCCAGGCAGGTCACTCCCCTGTAAACTCCATCCTGAAATGATTTACCAGCAGCGCTGCAGGGGATTTCCACTTCTGAATCCAACCACAGCTGGATTAGAGATCCAGTTAGTATGGTTTCAACAATGCTCATCGACTGGACCTCATTAAAATCTTTACAAGGGGTCTGGCAAAACAGCCCAGAAGCGACCACCACCCCATGCATGGGTGTGCGATCAGACACCACCTGCAGTGAGCTATCCAGGATTCAGAGCAGAAAGAGAGCGGCCCCACAGCTCCATCAACCGCCCTGAAGCCAACATCTGTCCTGGTATGGCAGTAGCAGGACTGGCCAGCAGTCGCGAGCAGTTCCTCCATGCCCAGTCGGTGTGTTCCTGGTGCAAGAGATCTGAGTGCACAGCGCTTGCACCCAGCTGCCCAGGTGCATGTATCCAACACACAAGTAACACCCTGACTTTAAAGTTCCAATCAACCCAAGGATCTCTGTCCTCCAGGCTCACACACGCTGGAAGGATTTCGTTGTGTGACAATGGAAAGGTTGCAGCACCATCTACTGTCTGACAGGCCCAGGCAAGGCCTCACCACCTTCTTCTTCTAAAGTGATTTTGTTCTTTTAAAGAAACGTTTTTCCTAAGAAAAGGTTTTAGGATCCTGGCATGGAGAGATGGGGAGAAAACGCACACACCTGTCCTGGCCCAGCACTCGGCCCCCGGTGAGTCCCAGGAGCCCAGGGAAGCAGATGCACAGACACGGGGAATGACCCCCTCGCCCCCAGCCAAGCTCGGGGCCGCCCAGACCACACATGCCCCATTTGCCTCTAATATTCTCTGGTGGCATGACCAACCGACAGTTTATTCCAGCTGTGAGCCTGAGGCCATTCATTAACTTTTTTGTGAATAACTGAGAAAATTGAGAATGAGGCTCACAATGACCGCAATAACTATCACAAACGTTAAAGTGAAAGCACTTGACCCCAAGCCACGAACAGGCCGCCATCCGTGGGTTGAGGGAGCGAGAAGGGCCATACCTTGCCTCTCTCCAGTTTTTCCAAAAGCTGGGTGGTGGCTGCCAGGGAGCAGCTGAGCTCCTCCTTGCTGGACTTCAAGAGGCCCAGTTCTACCTGCTGGGAGCTGAGACGTTCTTCGTTAGAAGCCAATTTCTCTCGGTAAGCCTGGATTTCCATTTCAGACTAGGGCAGAAAAATGTTACTTTAACTGGGAGATGAAACCCAAAAATATCATAAGGAAGACAAAATAGAGAACAACTGTCCCAAGGCCCTCAATTCATCTTTGCGACTCTCCCATTCTACCCCAGTATGGAAACCCAATTTTTTTAAAACCCCAGTTGCAGACTGAGACCCGCAGAGAGTGGGACAGACGTGGCCTTAATGGGAGGGCGCCCCTTGAGAAGACAGGGTGCAATTATGCCTCGGGGACCCTGGCCTCCAGTCCCAAAGCCCAACCCCATGCCCACCTGCTTGCGGGCATCCAGCAGGGCCTGGTGCGTCTGCTCGGCCTCGCACAGCCGTCGCTCAAGGGCAGCCACCTCTTCTCTCTCTCTCCCTTCCTTCTCAAGCTGCATCTTGTGCTCAGAATCTAAACACTTCTTCAATTCACTATTTTCTTGCAAGAGCTGCTGCAGCTGACCCTGAACAGGAACGTGGTAACATCAGAGGAAAATAAATAAGTGCAAACCGGACATGTCTTCAGGAAGTGCAGAGCACGTGGGGAGGGAACGTAATTCAGGGCAAGCCCAGATCTGCACAGAAGGGCTCAGGACCCACAGTGAAGTTCACACTTCAAGTTCCCCCCAATTTCAGCACTACTGCTGCTCCCACCAGGCTGCCCACTACCCCCAGAGACACAGGCTCTCTGCGTCCCCCTCCCCCAGCCCACGCTGGGCCCACTGCCCAGGCTTCCAGGCCTACTGATTCCAGAACCAACACTGCAGCAAGGCCCAGCCCACCAGCACCGCCACCTGCTGCAGCCCCAGATCCGTTCCCATCTCTGACCCACGGGTCTGCGTGTCCCATAAGTGTCCCCAGGCTCCTGCCCCTCATCCTTCCCTGCACAGACTGGCAGCTGGCCTGGGGGCTGTCTCCACAGGCCACATGGACACGTCCCCTCTCCATCTGATGCCTAAGCTAAACCCGCACCCAGCTGGTTTCACCTCAGCTCCTCTGACTTAGCTCCAGGGGACAAAGCCAAGGGAACCCTCCATCCTCCTCTCACAGAGCCTGGAGCAGGATGGGCACGGCCCCCTCTTCCATCAGCTGCCAAAGCTCAGCATTCTCCTGGCTGGCCTGTCCACATCCCCGTCCTCCTGCTGGTCTTGTCTCCTCTGTCTCCCCACGGGGTTGGGGGCCTCCAGGCCGCACCAACACCTCTGCTCCACCTGTGCCTCTGCTCCACCTGCATTTCCTGCCCTCTCCATTCTCCTCAGGTGCTTCTTACATTCTGAGGTAGCTGAGGGAAGGTGTCCAACCTTCAACCCTCTCCAAGCTCCTGTGTTGCAGCTGCTGTACCTCAAGACCTGCACTGCAGTCCCGACTGACCGGCCACAAGGGCTCCCTCCAGCTTCTAAAGAACACAAAGACCTGCCAACCCTAGGTTTTCCACTCTGCTCTCTAGACCTGGAAAGCTCTTTCCTCTGCCCGTTCTTCTCACAGATGACCAGTGAACCGCAGGTGGAGTCCCCCACACACCCCGTCTGAACAGGGGTGTCCCCATCCCACTTCCACCTACTGCAGGGCGCTGCTTAATGCACTTAACCGTTTGTTTGCACATTTCCTATCTGACAAGGCCAACTCTCAGCCCTACTAGGGCAGGAGCCACAGCTACCAACAACCTCCCGTCCTGCCCCCACAGGACACGTGGCCAGCGAGGCTGCCGCAAGGTCACCCAGCAGGCAGGACTCGGGCGCACTGGCAGGGAAGATTTGCATGGGGCACTGCCAGGAAATCCTGTAATCCAATCGCTGAGATTAAGTGCCAGCGTTTTCTGATTTCGATTATATTAAATGTCTCTTTTAAAGACAAGCACAAGCTCCCCCATTCCTTATACGGGCGATTACACAACTCACTTCTACTTTAGCAATGACTCTGGTCATACTCACAACCCCTGTGTGTCCTGTGCTGCCTCAGTTCCACAGAACAAGGTTGCATCAGCATGGTGGGGCACAGGGGCCCAGCCTTCAGCCAGAGCTGGCCTGCAGGGCTCTCCCCACCTGCCAGCCTGCTGCCCAGGGCTGCCACCTCGCACTGTGCCAGGGGTCCAGGAGCAAGGGAGGCTCAGGCCGGAGCCTGAGAGGGACCAGTCCTGTCCTCCAGGCGCACACCAAGAATGTGCCAGCTTCACACCCAGCTGTGACTGTGCTCGTTCTCCAGACAGGACACTGGGGTCACCTTCCGGGCACACGACAGCCCAGGGGTAGACTACGCCAAGTCTGACTGATGGGATCTGTAAGTAGGGCGGTCCCGTGCAGCAGGAGACCTTATAAGAACACCAGTGGGGGTGGGGGGTGGCAGTGAGGGACCGGGAATCTGCCCGAGGCCACTTACATCACTGTTCTTTATCTCTTCTGACTTCAGTTTCAATTCTTCCGTGAGCCTGCTTTTCTCCCCACTAAATTCTTCCTTCAAGGCCGTCGTTCTCTGTGCCAGCTCCTGCACTTCCCTCTGCAGCTCCATCTCCCTCAGCACCAGGGCGTCCACCTGAAAGTCCATCTTCCATTAGGGTGTGTCAATTCCAATCCATCGCCCTGATACAGCAGCAGACACCTGGCACCCACTTTAGTCTTCAAAAATAAAATGGAAGCCGGCTAATCCCCCTCCACTAATCCACTCAACTGAAATTCTCCAGGCCTACTGGTCAGCTCACTTTTTCTTCTCAGGAAAGATTTAATAAAAGACAGCAATGAGGAAAGGAATGACAAGCAGTGATATGATATTACTAAGTCTGAAAATCCAGCACAGGAGTATTAATGTGATTTAAACTTAGACATCAGAGAAGAGGGGATGAGGCAGAGGGGAAGGTTTTTATCAGTCTCTGCTCAGCTAATCTTACCCTGGCATCGAATCAGAGACAAACCTGCCCACGACTAGCTAAACCTGCCAAAGCTCTGGTGTTGGCATTTGCTCTGCCCGGAGTGCCTGCTCTGATTGCCTGATCACCTCCACCAGAGCTACCCTCTTGAGAGCTGCATGAAAAGTTGAAATTCTTGGAAAATACAGTTAGGATTGATGGCTTTTTCTGGACAGTCCATTTTCTTTTATTATCTGTCCAGTAAAATTTATAATTTGAAAGAATGGCTTTCCTGGATCAGTAAGTAAACACAGAGCAAAGCATTCATTTTCCTTTGATAGTTGAACCTCCTGATAACAGACCTTCCCGTCCATCATCAGCTGACAGGACAGAACACACCCGGGGCCAGGAACCTCAGGTGGGGACAATAGCAACATCTTTACTAGCTCTTGCCCCCAAAGGATTTTTTTTTTTTTTAAAGAATTTATTTATATATTTATTATTTGATACAAGCACTGGGTACAGTCGGAAGCGCGGGAGGGTGAGAGAATTCACCAGAGCCAGAGTGGGGAGCAGAGCAGGAAGAAGGACCGAAGTACACTGCTGAGGGGAGCAGCGGGCTGCAGGAGAGGTCTGCACGCCATGTGGGGACCCTCTGGTGGCCGGGGAGCAGCCGGGGATCGAACCGGTGCTACAGAGGCTGCGGGCAGCTTCGCAACCCAGCGCTCAGCTGCTGCGCCACCGGGGAGGCCCCAAAGGATTTTTTTTTTGAAGGCAGAACAGAGGAGCCCCTTCTGATTCTAACCAGGGACCTCGACTGGGCAGATCTGAGGTGAGGGTGGGAAGCATATTTGAGCAGGAACAGTGCATGCTGACCCAGGCCCCTCCCACATCAGCTGAGGACCCACCCAGCCCACGGAAGTGTCCAGATGCAAGCGTGTGTCAGAGCAAACACGGTTACCACTGCTGGCCAACTCAGCAGCCCAAGCCCTAGAGTCACTGATGCCCAGCACCCGCAGAGTGCAGCCACGACTGCATAGGTTGCCAGAGGAAGACGCCACCCACACGGAGATCTGTGTTCCTCCCTTGAGGCGACACGTTTCCACAGAGATGCCACCACTCACCTTTTCCACCAAGGACACATTTTCCACTTTGGCTGATTCCAGCTCTCGCTCCAGGTCCTGGTGAGACATCCTCAGCGCTTCTAAGGTGTCCTGTAAAGTGTCGTTGTGGGATTGGAGCGCCTGAGTCCGCTGCTCCAGCTCCTCCGTCCGAGTGCCCAGCTGCAGCTCCAGCTCCTGCCAGCGCCGCTGCTCTGCTGCCACCTGCGACAGTTTAGAGACCAGCTGCTCGCGGTCTTGGATTTGGGTGTTGAGCAGCCTGATTTCTTCCTCCTTCTTCTCCAGTCTTTGTTTGCCGTCTCCAACCTCCTCAAGCAGGCCATTCACAGAGGACTGCAAAGCCACGCGACCACACTCAGCCTCCTGCAGGCCTCGCCGCAGCTGTGTCTTCTCAAGTTTGAGCGCTTCCACGCAGAGGCTCAACTCCTGCTCTCTGGCCCTCTGCGCCTCCAGCTCATGGCACGAGGCTGCCACTTTCTCCTTTTGCTCTTTCAACTGAGCCTGGAGCATGTCCACTGCTGTTTGAGATTCTTCTTTCATTTGCTCTTTTTCTTGCTCTTTTTCTTGTAACAGATTTTCCAATGAAGCATTCAGCGCTTCTAACTCAGAGACTCGTCTGTGCTCCTCCTGTAGCTCTTTGCTCAGGTCTTCTTTTTCTGCCTTCCTATTGACAAGCTCTAACTCTAGCACACGGAGGCCAAGAGCCATCTCCTCCAGCTTGGCTCTGAGGGTCTCAGCTTCACGGGCCGCCTGCTCATGCTTCTGGCCAGCTGCCTCGAGCTCTTCTTGCAGGTCGGCAACTTGACCCCGCAGCCAATCTGCCTGGTGCTCACTCTCCTTCAGCTGTCCTAGGACCTGGAGCTGCCGCTTCGCATCTGCTTGCAGCTGGTCTTTCAGCTGCTGGATGCCGGCTCTCAGCGGGTGGGCTTCTGGGGAGGACATGTTCTGCCCTCCGGCCCTGGGGGTCTCCTGGTCACTACACAAGGCCGCCACCTCTGCCTGCAGCTCCATCAGCTGCTTGCACAGTGTATCCGCAGCTGCTCTGGATTCCTCTGCCATTTGTGCGCTTTCTTGCTCCTTTTCCTCCAGGAGGCGCTTCAGCGAAGAGAGGGCCGCATCTGACTCAGACACGTGGCCTCGCTCTTCTTGCAGCTGCTCCACCAGATTTTCTCTGTCGGACCGCAGAGCAGCCAGGTCTGACTGCACACCCTGCAGGTGCCCAGCCATCTCTTCCACTTGTGTTTTCAGGGTCTCCACCTCAGCCTTGGCGTTCTCGGCCTCCATGATCACCAGCTCCTGGCTCTCCTCGGCCACCTGCAGCTCCTGCTCCAGGCGCTCCACGCGGTCCTGCAGGGCATCAGCCCTGCGCTCACTGTCGCGTAGCTGCTCTGAGACGCGGCTCTGCTTCTGCTGGTCAGCCTCTATGCGGACCTGCAGCGCCTCGATGCCACGCCTCAGCTGCCGCACCTCCCCCTGTGTGGAGCTCAGCCTCCCGGCCACCTCCACCTTCTCCAGCAGTGCAGCCTCCAGGGCCCGGGAGACGCGCAGCTTCTCATCATCTGACTGGATCAGCTGCGCCTGCAGGCGCTCAGACTCCCCCACCAGCCACTCCCTCTCTCGGGCCAGCTGTTCCAGCCGGCCTTCCAGCTCCCTCTGCCCGGTAGACAGCGCCTGGGCGTCCCTGTCCGGACTCCGCAACCACTCCTGCAGGTGAGCCTTCTCCCTGGACAGCTCAGCCACCTCCGAGGACTGCATCTGGCGGGGCGGTGACGGGCCCTGGGCCATGTCGGGGTGAGGCCCAGGCGCCCCTGGAGCAGAGTCCTCCGTCTCCACAGAAGTCAGATCCAGGTCTTCACTCTCCTTCGACAGAACACCAACCTCTCTGCGAGGCTGGTTTCTCTTACGGGTGACCACGGAGAGCTCTTGCTCAAGGCAGGCAATGACTTTCCGCTTGTTTGCATTGTCCTCTTCCAGCGACAACTTCTCCATCTGGACTCTCTCCAAGTCCGCCCCCAGGGAGAGAGCCTGGCGCTCCAGGCCTGCGTGCTGGGAGCTCATCCTCTCCAGTTCCTTTTCCACAGCAAGGAATCGCTCCCTCCATCCGGCATTCTCTGGGACCGCGCTCTCTCCCGAGACTTCCTGCGACTGCTGCTCTGTGCCCGCCCCGGGTCTGCAGCCCAGGCCTTCCCAATCCCCTACCCCCTGGTGTGACTCCTGGTTATTGAAAGCAGGGGGTTCCAATTTTTCACTTAACTCTGATTTTTCTTTCTTAAGTTGCTCCACTATTTGCTCCAGTTTCAGGCATGCTGCAATCTTGTCAGCTAGCTGTGCTTCCTGCTGCTTGAGTTTTGAGTCTAACTCTTTCATCTTGCCTAGCAAACCTTCAACTCTTTGGTCACGTTCCTCTATGGCATGCAGTAAACGCACATTCTCATTGGACATCTCCTGGACCTGCACTTGGAGATTCTCAGTGGTCACCTGACCCCCCAGAAAGTCAACAAGATCCAGGGTGCTGGGGCCGGATGGCGACGGCTCAGGACCACCTGCTGGGGGGCTTGGGGCCCTGCCTTCCGCTGGGCGCCCTCCAGGGCTATCTTCTGGCAGCCTGAGGGCCCCGGGCAGGGTTCCTCCCTCCAACTCTGGACGGTCTTGCTGGTCCTCACAGGTGCCGTGGGTGACGTGCTTGGGTGCTCCCCTGCTGCTTTCTGAAGTGGTCACGCGTTCACAGCCCTCACTTCCCCGAGCAGCCTGTAGGTGTAACACAGAAATGAGAATGTATTTCCTGTAGGTGTAACACAGAAATGAGAATGTATTTACTTTTCAAGAAGAATCAGAATAAACAAGCTTAATTACTACTTTACCAAAACTGGCAACTTGCCACTGATAAACACAGCTCTCCCTCCTGAGTATCCATCACCCCAGCACCCAGCAAGGGCTCTCTGTGGGGAAGGGAGCGCTCGGGGAAATCTCTCCAGGCCAGTCATCACTAAAGTGTGACCAATTTAAATTCCTCTATCTTTCTTGCCAGGCATATGCTAGGCAGCCTGGGTATGGAGCTCCCTCTGAGGCTACCAGACTCACAGTAACACTCCGCTTCCACGGTGGCATTAATGATGTTCTTCAATAAAAGCAAGCCGCGGGGGTGCATGACCAGTCACAACCCAGCACTCATGCTCCACATTCATGGGTAAATCACGTGTGAACCTCACTGTCCCCCCACCTGTAAGACAGGGTGCCCCTGCCTCCAACCCCCAATCCTAGAGGAAACTCCAGGGACAGCACACTCAGCTCACACTCAGAAGCTAAATGTCACATTCAATAAAGAAAGAAAAGTGTTTTTCAATGATTGTCATCAAATCATAGATTTGAATGACAGCAAACTATTGGAAAAGTTTCAGCAGCATGATAAACGCCACATAATTTAAAAAAATACATTTTCATGACTAGCTCTGACATTTAAAAAATGTCTGGGAAGAGCAAAGTTTAAATCCAGGTCATGTCACGATGCATAAGCTCTCAGCTACTGCTTCAGAATGAAATAACACACCAGGGGAAGGCCCATCTCCGTGATGTACCAGCTGTCTCCGGGAGACCTGGGCACATGTCCTCAGCAATCCCCGTATGATAGGTTGTAGCTGGAATCGCTTAGAAATCCTTTCCGCAAATAAAATCTATCGTTTCCATAAAGTGCCGATTCTTTACAACACTGTAATACTGTCTTTACATCCCTGAAACCAACCAACACCTTAGATGAGCTGCAAGTTTTGATTCTGGCCCACCATGACGGGGAAAAAGCATGAGCCCAAGTACTTACGTCCACTAGGTCGGTGCCAAGCAGCGACCGTGAGCTCAGGTCCAGGCCTTGCAGCTGCAGGCGTGCCGCCTCGAGCTCCAGGGACAGGTGCTCCGTCTGCTTCTTCTCTGCCGCCAGCTTGGACTCCATCTCCGCCATCACGCTGGCCAGCTGCTGCTGCCACTGCTCCTTCTCTGACAGGTACTCCCTCCGGAGCCCCTCCAGCGCATTCCTCTCGGAGCCCAACAAATGCTGGAGCTCCTGGATTTCCTTGTTTCTCAGCAGGCCTTGACTCTCCATTTTCTCTTCCAGCTGCCTGAGGGAATGCAGGTGCGCCTGACAGAGGGTCTCCAGCTCCTCCACACGGCCCCCTGGGTGAAGTGGGGGGTCCCCCGGGGCCAGAGCCTCCTCCCCCAGGCTGCTGCTCAAGGCGTCCCCATCTGAGTGGCTCAAAAGGGATGTTTCTTCTGTCAGTTCTACAAGATCTTTGTAAAAAAATCCTTCCACGCCTACCGGACGAGGGCTGTCACACACACTGGAAAAAGACGACGACAGAAGGAGCCCCTCCCCGGGCCTGGGCGTCACCTCCTTCACCAAGTCGCCCTGGGCGTCTCTCAGGTCCACGCACAAGGCCGAATTTTCTGCCTTCAACTCGTCCACGTAGGCCTGGAGTGCTGCCATCTTGGAGCTCACCTGGCAGTGCTGATCGTGCAAAGCCCTGTGTTCGCTCTGCAGTGAGGAGAACCGTGCCTGCAGCTCAGCGAAGTGCGCTTGCACTGCCTGGCTTGATGACGTCAAGCATTCGCCAAAACTGCTGTCATCCAGAGGACCCAGGGACGCAGATTCCTGCTTGGCCCCAAACGTGGCTTCTCGCAGTTCTGTCACCAGTTCACCGTGGAGGAGGCTACTTTCATGGTTTAGTGTCCTCACTTCGCTGACCAGCTTCTCTACCTCTGCTGCCATCTTACTTGTTGCTGCCACACATTCTGACCTGGACACATCAAGCTCGGACAGGAGTTGCAGCTTCTCCACCCGCAGGGAGCCGCACACCGTCTCCAGCTCTGCCAGCTTGCTCAGGGCCGCCTGCAGGGCGTCGTGCAGGTGCGTGCTGCAGTCCCTACCTGCCAGCCACTCGCCATGAGCCGAGGTGCATGTTCCTCCTGTGTTCATGTCACAGTCTGGAAGGCCACTGGCTTCTGGTGGCTGAGCATCCTGTGCCAAAGCCCTGGCCTCCGATCCTGCCCAGGCCTGTGTCTCCTGCCTCAGGCGCTCCTTCTCCAGCTCACTCTCCTGAAGCCTCAACTCCAGATTCCTTATCTGAGCTTCTAACTGCCTCAGCTGGGCACCGTAACTGTCTCGAGAAGAGCCTTTCACTCCCAGGTCTGCCTGCAGGAGAGCGTCACCACACTCACTGGTCATGGGGGGGCACGGCTCCAGGGTATGGTACTCACGCTGTATCTGCGCTAACTCCCGCAAGTGCACTTTTTCTCGAGATAAGGCCCGGACTTCCTTTTGCATCTCACTCTGCTCTTCCTTTAACGTCAGGATTTCCTGCTTGAAGGCATCAGCCTCGCTCTGGGAATGGCTCAGGAAGTTGGCCACCCCAGGCCGCACGGCCTCCAGCTCCAGCTCCAAGCACTGGTTTCTCTCTTCTGCTAGCGCTAGTTTTGCCACACATGCCTGGTGCTCCCTTGCAAACGTTTCCTTGAGCTGCTCCAACTCCATCTTTCTATTTTCACAGACACTGGTGCATTCACTGAGCAAGCGTTCTAGCTGGGAGCTCTTTTCTTGTCCTGCTTTGTATTTTTCGCTGAGCTCCTCAAAGGCACTTCCTGTTTCCTCGCATCTTTGTAATAAAGTCAGCCTTTCTTGCTTGTACTGGCTGGATAACTCTGAAATTCTCTTCTCCTTTTCATCTATGCAGAGTGAAAAACTCTCACTTTTCCGGAGTAAGTCCATCTTCTCCTGACTTAAGCTCACGTTCACTTCCTTAAGCCTCCCATTCTCCTGGGTCAGCTCGTGGATTTCCTTTTTATGGAGAGAAATGACTGAGTTCATTTCCTTTTTCTCCAAGCTCAGAGTTTCTGACAGAACTTGCAGCTCCTTGAGAGAGTCTTCCAGTAAATGGTTCCTCCCTCTAATTTCTTGAGTCTCTGCTTTCTGAGCCTTGAATTGCTCGGTCAGCAGTTGCATCTCTTTTTCCTTGTCCTTGAGGGTGCCCAAAGTCTCAGCCATGACATTCTTATGGGCAGAAGCATCTTCTTGCAGCTTACTGATGCGCTGACTTGTCTCGGCCACAAAATCCTGATGCATCTGCTCCGCCTTTATGAGATTTTCTTCTATTTTTTCTCTCATTTGCACCAGCTCTTCACACTGCTTTTGCAGATCTGAGTTCATCTGCTTCTGGGACTCAAGAGAACCTTCCAGTGCAATGACTTTATTTTGCAAGATGGCTGAATTTGGGGGGCTTTGGGCTGCACCACTCCTCTCAGAAGGCAGGCTTTCCTGTTCTCCAATGATGTTTGCAAAGGAATTATCCCTGGCAGCTTGCTGTTCGAAAGCCAGAAGACTTCTGTCACAGGCTGCATTTGCGTCCCGTGGGGAGTCCCTGGAGTGTACCCGGCCCCGGAGGCTCTCACACTCGGCACTCAGGTTGCTGTAGCGCTGGTCTCTGTCCACGATCTCAGCTGACAGCACCTGAAGCTGGTGCTCTAGGTCTTCCACCTGCCCTGTCAGCTGAGCCACCTTCCAGCACATATTCTCCATTTCCTTGCGGTGTTTCTGATCTGAGGACTCGGCCTGCTGCTGGAGCGCCGCACAGGCTTGCTGCTGCACACCCATCTCAGCTGCCTTGCTGTCCAGTGCCGTCTGGAGTAGCCCGACCTCGGCACCCAGCTGCCCTCTCTCCAGCTCCAGTGCGGCAAGGCGCTCACTGCACTCCTCGCTCTTTGCTTGCTGTGTCTTCAGGCAAGTCTCCAAGTGGCTGATCTGGCCCTGCAGGCTTTCCCGTTCTGACTCCATCTGATGTAGACGCTGTTCATTTTCACTTTTCCAGCAAGAAAATTGAGTCTTCTCCTGTCTCAGTTGCTCGCACTCTTTGTGTTTTAACTCCAGCATGCTCAGGATAGTCTGGGACTCATGCTCAGTCCTACTTAACTTCTCATTCAGCTGTTCGATGTGATGCTCCCTCTTCTTGAGAAGGTCCTGGGAGCAATCCCGCTGCTTCTCCAGATCAGCCACGGTGAGCTTCAGCTTCTCCAGCGTCAAGGAATTCTCTTGCTGACTTATCTTTTCTTGAAGATCTCTTAGCATGGCTTCCTGAGACATATTCTTAGCTGTAAATTTTTAAAAAGTTCCTTTTAAGTTGTTAAGCATTCACTAATTTTTTTTTCTACACAAATTCTAAACTCTCAAAAAAAAGAGCCCAAACTCATAGCTTCCTAAGCCCTGCAAGGACCAGCGTGACTGTGTGGTGCTGCCTGGAAGGGAGCACGCGCCTGGGAGTCACCCATATCCGTATCAAGACACGAGAAAACTGCTCATGTGGGATGGGTCGCTTCTTCTAAAGCAGCTTAACAGTGTCATAAAAAATGCCAAAGGATTATTTTCCTAAGCATGTAAAACTTTTCTTCTCTGTGTGTATTTTTTCCCCCATGCAAAGAGAAAACTGAAACAAGGCAGAAATGAAATGGAAAATCCCACTGCCCCAGGAGGAAGACTGATTCCCAGGAGATGACTGCCCTGCCCAGGCCAGCAGCAGGAATGGGCGTTCAGGGCAGCAGTTCTCAGGCCTTTGGGGGCCAGCAAGGGATGTGGCCTCGAGGCAGCCCCCCATGAGCGTTGTCTGGGAGTGTGAGGCCATCTGGGCACCTCTCCCAACCCCACCTCCCCCATGGCTTCTGCCAGGTAATTCGCCTCTGCCCCGTCGGTGCCACTTTGCTGAGAATACCCAGTGCTGGAAAGGCCCACCGCATGTGGGTGAAGGAGAAGAACAGTCCAGAAGCTCAACAGCCATGGCGGGAGCAGGGGTTGCACCTGCAGACCTCACCAACCATGTTTTACCAGCTAAGCTCTGTCGACCCACATAGACTGCAGGCGGGGAAGACGGGGCGGAGAGGGCTGCCAGCCACCGTCCGGGAGGACCTGGGCCAGCCTTCTGGGCACGCTGGCAAGTGCATTCCTCCTGCCCCGGATTTCTTTCAAGAGGAGAGGGCGGCAGCCTGACATGCCTGCCGTGGGGGCCTAAAAGCCCTCTGGGGAGACTGGAATTTAGAAAAGGAAATCGTCACAGAGAGCCAGCAGGTGGGAGACAGGCTGGACCTGCAAATGCCCAGTGGCGTGGAAGGCAGGAGATGCACGTGCACCATGAGGACTGTGAAGGCCACAGGGCATGCAGCTCTGGAGAAGGCAGGAAACCAAACCTGGGTCAAGGCTACCATGGACAACATGGCCACAGCAGTGGGGACGGTTCCAGGATCATGGACCCCTATCAGGGCGGGAGAGGAGGCACCGGGATGTTGCATGCACCAGGATGTTGCACGCTCTGGGAATACAAGCAGGGGCCCTTCCCTTCTGTGGGACAACAGGAGGTGGGACTGCAAAGCACTGAGAGGCGGGGGTGGAGCTCCCAACAAACATGCCCACGCGCCCGGGGACACAGAGCACAGGAGAGAACTAGCTGTGTACCTGCGGCCCGCAAGGTGCCTCAGTGCCCTACCCTGCCCCTCCCGCGGCACACCTGAGAGAGCCACGTCTACTCACCTCTCGTTTCTTTGGCCAAACGCTGGCTCTGGCTCAGGGCCTCCTGGGCCGCCCGCAGCTCTTCCGCCAGGCTGCCCACCTCCCGGGTCCGCTGCTCCAACTGGCCCCGCACCAGGCCACTCTCCTTCTTCAGCTCCTAGAGCACAGACAGCCGGTTACAACCAACACTCGGCCAGGGGACTCCCACCCCAACGGACCGGAGAACCACGTCCAGCTGAACACACTTCCCTCTGCCCCAGCCCGGATGGAGCAGACTATGCGACTGCCATCCGTGTTTCCTGAAGGGGAATCGGAACCAAGGCACGAAACCACCACCTGAGCATCACCTGCCTCGGTCCTGCAACAGCTGTTCCCTGAGCTGCCTGCTGCCTCCACACATGGGAAAGAGCTAGTCCTGAGGAGCGGCCTACTCACAAGGCCCCAGACACCCCCTCCAAGGTCCCATCACTCCTGAAGGCACAAATCAATCTTCGCAAAAATGTGATGTGTTGATGAGCCAAAAAAGTCATATTTCTCACTGTTACAGCATCTGAAAGGCTCACTAGTTGGGGGGAGGGGAAGGGGTATTCATGAATAAAATTACCTCCGATCAATGTCTATCAAGATCAACAATGTCGGGCCTCCCTGGTGGCACAGCGGGTTGAGCACAGCGCTAAGCTGTCCTCAGACCCTGCAGCACACGTTCGATTCCTGGCCTGCCAAGGAGATTCCCACATGGCGTGGCAGACCTCTCCTGTCTCCCTGCTGCTCCCCTCAGCAGTGTATTTCAGTCATATGCCTGTTCTGTTCCCCACTCTGTCTCTGGTGAATCCTCTCACACTCCCAGGCCTCTGCCCTGTACCCCAGCTCTTGGATAAAAATAAATATTTAAAAAAAAAAAAAAAAAAAAAAAAGGATCTACAATGTACAAGATGCTAGAACCGGCGTGTGAAATATGCAAGTACAGCTGAGAGGGCGTCTGCCCAAAGGGCCGGTGCCCAGCAGGCGGGCCTCGTCCCAGGCACTTAGTGCCCCAGGACTCGCTAACTGCTGAGGGGAGAAGCAACCTGTGGGAAGTCAGAGGACGAATGAATTCCAGATGGGGAAGCTGGGCTTCCCCAGCAAGAACAGGTTCTCAGGGCACCTGATCAAATGAGGTGTCCATGCATTAACCTGCAGTGGAGAAGCACAGGGCACCCCACTATCTAGAGACTGGTTGAGTTTTCTAAATCTTAGAAACCAAGCAATATTTATATATGCAATAAAAACGCTCTGGTCACAAGCCATGTACATGTTGTTGTAAGTCCCCTATTCGTATTCCTCAGCCTGTGTTGCAGCCTTCAGCAATTTCAGAGCTGACCAGTAGCTCAGCCCACACTCTGCGCGCCACCCCCGGAAATGAGGATTGGCACTGCCCATCAAAAACTGACAGACTGGACACATCCTTACCTCCCACAGCCTCACATGCCTAGGAGCAAAAAAATAAATCAATAAGGTTTAATATTTTTTTTTAAGCCATTCTCCTAACACAGCCCTCTGAGAAACGGGGAAATTTCGAATCTTAAAGAAACAATTAAGACCCATCCTCCAAAGCCCAACCGTACCAGGAGGAAACAGATGGCCTGGCAGCACTGGGCTGGACGGCTGCCTGCAATTACCAGTCTGGTTACTACCAGCAGATGGGCACTGATGTAGCAAAGCCAAATTCAAGAAAAGCGAGAAGCTGGCTGGGAGAAAGTACCTGAAAACTCGCTGGCGGCGTCTGTCTGTATGTATCCATGTTCATTTCTTTATAAAAATAAGACAAAACCCGTGGCAGCAAGGTGCCTCTGCCCCTTTGTACTAACCCTACCCACCAAGCAGACAAACTAGACCGATGCTCTTTTAAAATAAAGAGATCAATCAGCGCTCGAGGGCAGCTCCAAGCAACCTCAGGAGCGAGAGGCCAGCGTCCAGCCGACGTCGCTGGCGTCATTAAACCACAGAAGCTGTCACCGCCTGTTCACTCTTCGGGCTCAGAATAATCACCACTCAAATGAGATCACAGATGTGAAAGGGAAAGCACCTTAAGCACTTCAACAAGGGTAATGGAGCATTATTAGTAGTATTTCTTTCCCAAATTTGCCAGCTGCCAGATACATGCTCAACACTAAGAGCAGCCGAATGGGTTCAACATAAAAGAACAACTAGAATTTAATCACCGGGGACGACTTAACATTTTTATTTTGCAACTTTATGAAAATCTCTTCATACCCTAAAAATAACAAATCTATCAAATGGCACTGCACCTCCATCTGGAAGCGTGACGAGAAAGCCAGAAGACATGGGGCAAAGCTGGTCCATCAGTAGATGGTGGGGGGTGGAGGGAGGGATAGAAATGTTTCTGCCTCTGTTGGTCTCTGTCCGTCTGTCCCTAACTGGAGACATTTAAATGAAAAGCAAACTCAATGGAAAGAGCAGCATGTCTGTCCACACTGGCATTTGCTCTGCAAATAGATGTTCGGCTAATCCTGGGGCCCAGCAGGCTTATCACGCTATGGCTGCAACCAGCCCAAAAATTTTAAAAGGCCAGAATTTTCAAAATGAACATCTGAAAAGGGATCTGTCAGCTGCCATCCAACAGCAATTAGTTTTCCGAGAGGCTACGGCCACTTAAGACTTGATTGGGCAGCTCATTATCAACAATGAGTTAAGCATACAAGGATATATTCTCCCAGGCATCTCTTGCAAGCACACACGATTTGCAAAATTGGGCACTAGTCTGGAAAAACACAACAAAACTCGCTATCACCACAAGCCAGCTTCAGACCTCAGCAAGTGAGTTCACCCGGATCAGCTAGGGTTTAGGGGCAGGACAAAACAAATCTCAGTGGTGGCAGCCCTGCCAGTCCCCCCGCCCACCCATGAGTGGGACTGGATCCACCCCCTGCGAGCAAAGCCTCTATCATGAAACAAGGGGTGGACACGAGGCCGGCGAAGCACATACCCACGCCCCGCCACACAAGGGTCCTGGAGGCACAGTCAGATGTCGGCCAGCAGCCCCGGTGGCCCTGGCTGTCACGGGAGAGGAGGGGCCGCTGACCGGACTCCATCCACTCTGGCTGAATGGCCACTTTTCCCTGGATGGCCTGTGAGCTGCAATCCCAGCACTGAGCAGCTCTCACTACGAGCAGCACTTTCATGTACCCAACGCAGACAAGGAGCCTTATCGGGACAATTCTCCTTGTTTCATATCCAAAACCTAGGGGCCTGCACATGACTGCGTTGTGCTCCCTAATAATCACACACAGGCAGACAGCCAAGGAGACAGAGCAGGCAGGACTTTAAATGCAAAAAATCTCCAAAGCACTGTCCTCTGGGTGACCACGCGCCCACGGGTGATGACAGACGGGAGAAACAAGAGGCCATCGCTGTGGGGGGGCCCAGAGCAACAGGAAGGGAGCCCAGCAGCCCACGCAGGCGTGGGGGTAGCCAGCACACCAGCTCCGCCAGCCGTTGAAACCTCTGCACAAAGTGACACTGCAAGGGGGAGTCTGGGGAAGCCACATAGCAGGAAGGTGGCGGGCAGCAGTACGAGTCCAGATGCTGCTGACAGTTTCCCTTAAGTCACGCAGCATCTGACTGCGTAATTCTGAACTCAACCCTCTGCCCTCTTGAGATCATCCTCAAAAGCCGCCACCCGCACAAATATAAACTAAGACAAAAATGAAAGGCACTCCTGGCTCTGTGCAAGGCTCGTCCCCAAGACCATCTCCCTGGACCCCTAAACCAGGGAGCATGACATGCGACGGGACAGGCTGCTGGCGTGGAGGTGGCCCCACAGTCCATCAGGTCACAGGGGACACCCGCAGGCCCAGGCCATGGCATCCCAGGCCAAGCGAGCCCCCGTGAAGTGTCTGGACCTGGAAGCCAGGCTCCTGCTCCACCAAAGTGAGTCCAGCCGGCAGCCAGGGAGGGAGGGGCGGCTGCTGGAGGGCCACTCGCACAGGGCAGAGCCCAGCGCCAGTGCAAATGTGCGCAGAAGCATCTGCTGGTGGGTCCCCACTGGCCAAAAGGCAAACATTTGTTTTGCCGAAACAAACATTTCCATTTGAAACTGCTCACTGATGAAGCCATCACGCCAATGGGAACTCTGGGGCGGGGCTGGGCCTCCTGTCCCCGGCAGAACAGGCCCCTGGAGCCACTTCAGCCAGCCGCCTCAGCTACGACAGATGCTCGGTGAGACGAGCCCACCACTGGGACACACGCTGACTCTGGACAGATGCCGGCTTTTCACACAGAATTTAGAAAAAAGAAAAGAATTTTCAGAATCTGAGCAGCGACTGCAAAGTATTCAAGGAAAAAGTAGGAAAACGTCCTTTCCCCCGAGCCGTGTGATGAAGAGACCTCTGTCCGGCTGGCCTTCTTCACTGTTCTATGACCTGTCCTTAAGTGGTTCTTAATTAAGCCCTTTAAGATAAACTCCAGAGCCTCCCCGGTGGCACAGCGGGTTGAACACAGTGCTGGGGGTTGAGTGCAGCGCTGTGAAGCTGTCTGCAGCCTGGGTTCTATTCCAGCCAGCCGGCGAGAATCCCACATGGTGCAGCAGACCTCTCCTGTCTTGCCCACTGCTCCCCTCAGCAGTGTATTTCATCAGTCTGCCTGTTCTGTTCCTCACTGTCTCTGGTGAATCCTCTCACCCTCCCACGCCTCTGACCTGTACCCCAGTTCTTGTATAAATAAATAAAAAAATCTTTAAAAAGAAAAAAAGATAAACTCCAGACCACTGAATCAATTCCGAGGAGTCAAATTAAAGAACGGATAAAGTGCACTGAGAAGCCCCTGGGGCCCCTCAATCTGTATAACAGACACTATTCCATGTAATAAACACGAAGCTTAGGCCTGCCTTCCAAAGTCAGAGTAGCATCATTTCTAATGACTGGATGTTTTTATCAGAATCTTAAATCTGCGTGCACTTTGCCTGTCCTGGGTTTTTGCTTACTTAAATCTATGACTTCCACTAGACTTTTCTATCTGATGACTCACAACTCCTAGGAAATGGATTTAATTCTACCATCAGCAATTTTGTTTCTTTCCATTCAAAAGTTCTCCTCCTTTCTCCTTTCTCCCATCCTTCACTTCTTCCCAGGTGGTTCAAAACAACCTTGGGGAAGGTGGGGGGAGGAAAGGCAGTGTACTTCTTAATCCAAGACACAATTTCCATTAATTGACACTTCAATTGATCAAGGATATTAGTAATTCTATCAGAATTGAAAGCAGAAAAAAACATACATGTCTGTGTACTGACTACATGCAGTGTGACACTTCCGGCAAGTGCATGCCTTCACCATAACTGCTGAGATCCGAGATCTGAGCTGAGAGCTAACATGTGTGCACTTGCATGCACACCCAGTACAGGCTCCCCTCACCCCACCCCACCCCTACGCAGCAGCCCAGAGCCCCACCACCACCCCCACTCACCTCCATGCTCCTCTTCAGTGCATCTTCCCGGGTCTGACTCGCCTGCAAAGCCTGTTCGGTTCTGCAGAACTTGTGCTTGAACTCCTCCAAGCTTTTTTCGAGCTGGTGTTTTATTGCTGTGACCTACAACCAGAAGACAAAGCTTTATTGTATGTTCTTCACTCTTCACAAAGCACTTCTTAGGTAAGACAAGGTCATGGGGCGGTGTCTTCTGGCTGAGACACAGCGGAAATCCCAGTTAGTCACAGCACCGGACTTGACTTAAAATACCGTCATAGCAGCCCATGACAAAACCTGGCAACAAATCATAGATAAGGGGGCTGGGGAGGAAACCGTGAAGGATAAAAAGTCCAACCACAAAAAGTAGAACAACTAAACAGTAATAAGCAACCAACAGTAACATTAATAATAAACTGAAATCAGAAACAAACTGAGAGGACAAACCTGCAATACATAAAACAGAATAAAAATGATACGCCCACAGAGGGGGCGGATCAACATGGCCGTGAGGAAACGCTGCGAGTAAGATCTCCCATTAAAAAAAAGTTAATAGAGAGGAAAAGTGGCAGGTCCCAGTGAGAACTGGGACACGGAAGATAAACGGGCGACTCCAGCAAACTACCCGAAGAAGAAAGTTGCCATTAGAGAGGACTAGAAGGGAGTAAAGCTCAGAACCCTGCTACCCTCTCCCACCCACAAAGTGGGCACTCTCCGACCAACAGAAAGGAGGAAAAAACAAAAAAACTAAAACAACCAACAAGAGCAAACTACACATCAAGCGGGACTGTGAGTGGAAAGGAACTATTTCAGCCACCACACCCCGTGAACTGGAGCAGTGGAGAACCCTGCAGGATTTGCCGCTGAGGTGAGCTAACGGCTCTAGGCACCATTAGAGAAAAAAAAAAGGCTCCCGCAGACTACAAACAGCCCCAGGCCAGCCGGAAGCTTGTGCAGAAAAGCAGCACACTTGAAAAGGATACGCGTGATCCCTTCCAGCACCATCCATGTTGCTGCAAATTGCATGTGTTTATCTTTTTTGAATGCTGAGTAATATTCCATGGTGTATATGGACCACATCTTCTTGATCCAGTCATCTATTTTTGGGCATTTGGGCTGTTTCCAAAGCTTAGCTATTGTAAACAGTGCTGCTATAAACATAGGGATGCAGGTGCTCTTTGGAATTGATGTTTCTGTGTCCTTTGGGTAAATACCTAGGAGTGGAATGGCTGGATCATATGGAAGCTCTCATAGCAAGAATCTAGAAAACTTAAATAAGGGACCAGGAAAATGAATAACTATAAGAAAGTGAAAATCAAAATCAACAAACAACTATGAACCAGAGACATTCTATGGGGGTTGGGGGGATGGGGAGGGGAGGGGTTGGAGTCAAAATAAGGAGGTTGCAATTGTATGGGGAATATAAAAATAAAATTTATTAAAAAAAAAAAAAAGAAAAGAAAGAAAAGGAAACGCAGAGCGCAGCTGCCCAGGTCCCCGCGCCTGTGACCTAGGCTTGCGGGGAGACGTGCGGGGGCCCTCACTGAGGTGAACGTCCCTCACTGAGTAATCAGAAACCAGGCGCCTGGACACAGGAACAGGGTGCAAAAGGCACCATTTCTGCAGACACTGAACTGGGCTACAGACCACGTCCTGGACCTGAGGGCTTTGGATCTGAGACCCGGGGCATGAAATTCAGGGCGAGGGATCCCCACGACAGTGGGGCACAAGGCAGACACAGCACCCCAAAGCCGTTGAGGCTTTCCCCACCACTCCCACTTTGTTCCCCTGTCCCACCCGGTAAAAAAAAAAAAAAAAGCTCCCCAAGGACACTAGGAGAGATCTCTGGCGCCACCTAGCGACCAGAAAAAAACCACCAACACCCCATAGAATAGGGACCTTTCTTTAGTAAAGACTGCTTGAAACCTACAGAAGGCTCCCAGAGGAGTCAGAGGTGAGCTGGAAAGTTCGCCCAAGCCAGGCCCCTTCTGACCAGCAGTCCAAGCCCAGAGTGGGAGCGGGCACCCACGGCCGGGGCAGACTGAGCGCACCGAATCGCCATTTTAGAATAGGGACCATTCTTCAACAAAGACTGCTTAAAACCGGCAGACGGCTCCCGGAGGAGCCAGAGGTGAGCTTGGAAGTTTGCCCACGCCAGGCCCCTTCAGGCCAGCAATCCAAACCCGGGGGGGAGCGGGCAGCCACTGCCAGGGCAGACCGGGCGCGCGGAAGAGTGTGCCTGTTTCCAAAGCGCCATTTTAGAACAGGGACAATTCTTCAATAAAGACTGCTTGAATCTGGCAGAAGGCTCCCTGTGGAGCAGAGGGAGAAGGTCCCCTGCACAGAGGTGAGCTGAAGGCCCCCACAAGCCCGGTCCCACCTGGCAGGAAGTCAAAGCCCAGAGGAGGATCCAGAGATTTGGAACCCAGAGTGCAATCCAGATGCCCCACCTCCAGGGAAGTCCTTGGGACTTCAAGACGCACATTTGTAACTAAACACAGAAGAAGAAGAGATTCTGTGACAATGACCATTAACATACTCAAAGTACCACTGCCTCACTAGACTTCTGGCATAACAGTTTTTGACTAGTTTGGAATACTAGTTTTTGAAACTCCCGAAAGAACACACCAAAAAGATGTCAGCCAGTACCAGTGGCACAGTGTCCCAACACATAAGGCAAATTAGAAGACAGACAGCAGGGAAAAGAAAAACTACACGCAAAGTAGCAACGCCTCAGAAAAAAGACACAGCACAAAAAAAAAAAACCACCCACCAGCTTACAACTACAGTGACTTGGAAGAACTTCTGAGCCTTCCAGAAAAAGAACTTAAAATTGCCATGATGAAAAAACTGATGGAAGTCATTAAAGAAAACAATGCTCAGAAGAATGAAATTGAGTACCTACAGAGGGAAGTAAAAAAAAAAATGCAGGAGATCAAAGAATTAATGGAGGCACTAAAGAACTCTGGAAAAAGCAATGAAAGCAGAATAGATGAAATGGAAGAACGAATAAGTACTCTTGAAGACACAGAAATAAAAAAAACCAAAACAGAAAAGGAAAGAGAAGTACGAAGAAAAAAGACCAAAGAAAGACTTCGGGAACTATCTGACTCCATGAGGAAAGGAAATATAAGAGTTATAGGAATCCCAGAAGGAGAGGAGAGAGATGTAGGAACAGAGAAAATATTCAAGGAAATAATTGAAGAGAACTTTCCAAATGTGAAGAAGGAGCTGAAAATTGATATATAAGAAGCAAGAAGAACACCAAACTTCCATGACGAAAGGAAAAATACAGCAAGACACATAATAGTAAAGCTCCCAAGAATCCAAGACAGTGAAAAAATAATGAAAGCTGACAAAAGGGAAGAAACAGATAACATTCAAAGGAAAACCAATCAGACTGACATCAGACTTCTCCGAGAAACACTACAGGCAAGGAGAGAGTGGAAGGACATAGTCAACAGACTCCAAGAAAACAGATGCCAACCAAGAATACTCTATCTCGCAAAGCTCTCCTTCCTCTATGAAGAAAGAATAAGGACCTTCCCAGACAGAAACTCTGGAATTTCATTACGACTAAACCCCCACTCCAAAAAACACTACAAGGAGTCCTAAAGACAGAACCTCAGAGGAACGAATAACAATGAAAGAAGGCCCCCCCAAAAAAAAGTTATTAAAAGAATAAATAAATAAAATCAAAGAAAAGACAAACACAATGGCAAATACAGATGCTAACATACAAATATTAACTCTAAATGTAAATGGACTAAACTCTTCAATAAAAAGACACAGAGTCCCAGGCTGGATTAAGAAACAAAATCCAACCTTTTGCTGTCTCCAGGAAACACGTTTAGCTACAAAAGATAAAAATAGACTCAAAGTTAAAGGATGGAAAACAATCCTACATGCAAATGGACCAAAAAAGAAAGTAGGAACAGCTGTACTTGTATCAGATAAAACAGATTTCAAACTCAAAAAAGGTAAAAGGAGACCCCAACAGCCACTACATTATGATCAAGGGGACAATACTTCAAGAAGAAATAACACTCATTAACATATATTCACCAAACGAAGGAGCACCAAAATATATCAGACAACTGTTGTCATCTCTGAAAACAGACATCAGAGAAAACACATTCTTAGTGGGAGACTTCAACACACCACTATCAACAATGGATAGATCAACAAGATAAAAAATAAGTAAAGACACTAAAGCTCTAAATAAGGATCTAGAGCGCTTGGGCTTAACAGACATCTATAGAACACTAAACCCAAAAAAATCTGAGTACACATTTATCTCAAGCACACACGGATCATTCTCCAGGATCAATCACATAGTGGGACCCAAGACAAACATCAACAGATACACCAAGATTGAAATCATACCAAGCATCTTTTCTGATCATGAAGGCATCAAACCAGAAATAAACCATAAAAAGAAGGCAAGGAACTCTCCTACCTCATGGAGATTGAAACCCACACTTCTGGAAGACCACTGGAGTAATGAGGAGATCAAAGAAGAAATTAAAAAATTCTTTGAGTTGAATGACAAGGAGGACATCAATTTCCTAAATGTATGGGATGCAGCAAAAGCAGTAATAAGAGGAAAATATATAGCAATAGAGGCTCACATCAAGAAACAAGAAAGAACTCAAAGAAACAACCTAATCTCGAAGCTCAAAGATCTAGAAAAAGAACAACGGAAAAAACCCAAAACCAATAGAAGAAAAGAAATAAATAAAAACAAAAGCAGAAATAAATGAAATTGAAACTAAAAAAACAATCCAAAAGATCAATGAAACCAAGAGCTCGTTCTTCGAAAAAATCAATAAAATAGACAAACCGCTAGCCAGGCTCACAAAGGAAAAAAGGGAGAAAGCACAAATAAACAGGATCATAAATGAAAGGGGAGAAATCACAACGGACACAGTGGAAATCAAAAGAATAATCAGAAACTACTATGAACAGTTGTATGGAAACAAGTTCAACAATCTAGAGGAGATGGACAAATTCCTACAACTCAACAATCACCCAAAGCTATATAAAAAAGAAATAGAACACCTAAACAGACCAATTACAAGCAGCGAAATTAAAATGGTAATCAAAAACCTCCCCAAAAACAAAAG